AAATGCTGGTATTATATTTTTAAAGTGGGGAAATTTACATAGGACTATAATCTGTATATGATTTCAAATGAATGACTATTTTATTTTGAAAACTTTTGTTTATAAAAAGTCTACCATGTAGCATCCATTTCCTTTTTGCTCTAGCTATAGTTGATGAAATTCAAGGATGAAGGGTCTTCTTGCCTTGTCAGACATTGGCCCAGCCTTTGCTATGTTGTATCTACCACTGTGAGCTGGGAACACTTACATTCTCACCTGCTTTTTACCATAACCTGGCGAGTATATCGTGACCCATCTCAACTACTCATGACCCTGGCTCTTTCCTGGATATAATAATAGGAATGAGGGTTAATAGCTAGAAAAAAGGAGTGTTTGAAAAATATAATTAAAATTATATGAGAAGGATGCAGGGTATTTTCACAGGCATCTGAACAATCATTAAAGGAATACTGACAGGTGAAGAAACCCTGTCAAGATGGAAGTGAAGGTGTGTAGGGAAGGGCCAGATGGAGTGAGCATATAGAGGAAAGTGCCCTAGGAGAATTGATCTCACCTAAAGTAGTCACATCTCAGGAAAGGTGTCTCTAACTCTTCTGAAACTGTCTCTCAACTTGGCATCTTTGAGCCATTGCTGCTCTGGGAGTTGGAACATTTTTCTCTTCGAGGAGTTACTCCTACGTTGCTCTACCTTTCCTGTTCTCAGCTTGCTGTTCTGCACGCCTGTGCTGAGGGTCTGCTGTCTACTTATTAAGTAGCTGCCAGCTTGCTTCCTGGACTACAGCCAAGACAACTACGGTGAACCCATGGCCATCAACCAGGCAGCCATGAGCCCAGCATCTGAGACCTCTTGCAGTCCTCCTGCCAATTGCCCTCTGTTCTGAACCTGCCAAGAAATTTACTTTGTTCCCATTGCTCCCTGTGTTCCAGTTCAGACCATCCACCAATATAAACCAGATGCCCAAGATTCCAGCTACCAGCTGCCCCTGTCTCCCAGCCATGTCTGAATTTTGTGTCTGCTAATGGCTTCCTTTTGATTTATGCCAACCATTGATGAGATAAACAACAGTAGCCAACAACTAATCTTATCACCCAGTAGGTTTAGATCCCTGACCTAAGCACTGGTGGTTTCTAAAGCTTGTCTTCTTATCTAAAGGACCAGCATTTATTTTGGTTAATTACTTGGCAGTCATTTTGGTTAAGCACTAACTTTTTTTATTAAAATAATGATCTCATATATCACAGCTTATAAAAATGTGCTAAGTAAACTCTTTTGTACTAGTTACTTCAAGATTCTCCAGGACAGTTCCGTCTCTAGCTCAGGTTTTGCTTGTGTGTCTTACAACATGCAAAAAAATGGTCTGCTTTAACTCCTAATAAATGTGCTTCCTTGAGCTCTGCACACATGGTTCTTGTTAATATTCATTTGTTAATTCTACTAAACTTATGATTTTTTAAGTAATGAGAGAGCTCTGTCCACTTGATAAAGTATAGCAAATGTAACCTGAGTTACGTGACTTCTTCATTGTTTCATTAGCAAATATATATTAACTTTCAAAGTTGTGCCACATACTGCCTTGTGGTGTTTCCTTTGGATTCTACCCTGTGTTGATCTTTCTAAGGTCTTTTTATCATTAATATTGTACTCTGGTAATTTATCAATAATACAGCACTCTCGAATCCTCATTATGAGGTTTTCATGGTAGAACTGAAAGGAATTACATCTAATTCAATGGTGGCTCATAGCCACCAGTCAAGAGGTAGGACTGGCGTTCATTCTACCTTTTTTATCATCCTTGAAGATGTTAGGAGATCAGATCTTGTTGGAGAGCCTCCAGTTGATCTCTATGACTAAAAATAAAACTACTAAGAATACCTGATAGGGTACAGGTGTGGAAGAGCTATCATTGATGGTTTAGTAAAATGTGTGTGCAAATTCCCCAGAATAGCATCAGTTACAGTCCCATAAACCCTTTTACAACTGAGAAAATTATGCTTACACAATTTATTTACAATATGGTATTTCATAACTAATTAATTGCATAAATTACTGAAAAGCATGAATCTTAGCAATTTAAATATAAATGCAAACTGACAAATGTGCAGAGGTTTAAATCCTTCTCAGTACTTTATTTACTAATGCTGGTAAATGAGTCAAATTGACCTGGTTCACAGTGATATCACAATAATTCCACTTAGATTATCTGGTGGTGAATCAATTTTCTATAAAATTTTAAAATTGGAAAATTAGGTTTTTCCTTTTTTTAAGGTAATAGCCTTTAAAACTTAGGAAGAGATTGTAAAGCACCTACCAATGGCATGTATAGCTGTTATCCATTCTTCACCAACAGAACCACTGAATTGAAACAAATTCTGTGTTCTTCTTCCCTTGAATACTGCCTGATGTGTTCAAAACTTAATAACAAGGTAGCTCACCATGAAACCTCATTAACTTACTTCATTTCTTGAAAAATAAAGTATAAGAAAAAATGTCATCAATGATTAGCAGAGGGAGAGGAGAGCTATTGCAGGGTGTCACCTAAGAAGGTGCCTTATCTCTATTGTGCTATAGGCTACATGGGAGCTATTTAGCATTCGAAACCAGCATAGTGACATATGTTTTGCTCACTGAAATTGTCAAAGGAAAAGTTATTCTCATCTTTAAAAATGACATGGATTTTCTTGGAAGGTATCCTGAGAAATTATACTTTATTCTCAAAATGAACGGATGTATAAAAAAAAGTGACTTTAAATAAAATACAAATAGTAATTATTGGGTTCAAAGAAGATTTCATAGTTAGAAGAAATGTCACCATAATGAACTATAAAGTGTGAGACCTACATTTAATTATCTTTAAAAAAGAAGGTAAATTAATTTTCTTTATGTTTTAGATATTTTTGTGTATGGAAGCAGAGATTTAAATGGTGATTTGGGCTTCTGCTTCTAGACAAAATGGAGCAGCAAAACAGGATATATTCTGCCATCTGAAATAATAAAAAAATCTAAACACAATATCTGAAATCCTGAGCTGTTGGTATTGCAGGCATGAGCCACTGCACTTAGTAGCTGGTTGATTAAGTTCTCCAAGATCAAGGTGTGTTGTTAGTTATAATGGACACCTCCCTGTTCAATAAAGAGAATTACAACCTGAGTCACATCATTTTCAGTTTATGTAAAGATCATAAAGTGTGTATATAGTGCTACCAGTATTATAAAGATTCACATAAATGTGGTGTTGAAATACCACATCAGAAACAGATGTGTAGTCAATGTTTCCTCAAGTCTCAGACGTGGAGAATACTTACCTGAATACAGATCCACAGAAGTGAGCTGTGCGGGATTTTGAGAAATTCTAACTGGGAAATTCAGCTATTTGTACACCCGTGGCTAAGGGAGGGAAGATGCCCCTTTCTCCCCAAACTGCTGCTTAAAGAGGCAGTGTGTGGCAGCATTGTGAAAGGCAGGCCCTGTCCAATTGCCCTTAGGCTGATTGCTGTGAGTGTGCTGGGTGGACAGTGGCCAAGGCCTCTTACGTACCCTTTTTTCATTATATTCAGAAAGATACCAGGGAAGTGGTGCTAACTGTGCCTATGTTTGCATATGAAGTAAGTGAAGCTTAGAAAATTTAGATCTGAGAGAAAAAATAATTACATAGTACTAAGCTTGTACATTCTGGCTATATTTGCTCTGGCCACAAATGTTATGTCTTCCTGCTTCACCATCCAGAAAGATAACTCTGACTAAGACCTGTGGTCAAGAAAACTGTTCTACATAAGATCTATTATTTTCTTCCGTTGATGTGTAGTACTAGAAGTTTGTTTCCAGGTATACAAGCCCATTTTTCTAAATAATGTAGTTTTAAGATCTAGTTATAGAGCTTAGCAACATAACTAGTCTAAAGCCACATTGCTTCACATTTCTAGGAATTTCTGCTTTCTTTCCACATATAAATATGTTGTAATACTAAATAATCTACAGACAAAAATAAAACGTTCGGAAATACTCACTTGTAAATTAAATTATCTTAGTTAAACAATAGGAATTATTTCAAAGGCTTTTTACACATGGAGAATACTTCTTGTAAAATAGTAATAGGAAAACTGGCTATGAGCATAACACTGTCTTTATATTTTCTATATTATACTGAGGTTCACATATCCAAGGAGATATGGCCTCTTTTTTATACAGCATCAATAAAAACACATGTGCTAACACCTTCAGTTTCATGCTAATAAAATATGAAACCATAGTCACACATAGACTCATTGGGTGTGGAGTTTAACAAGGTCACCCTTCTTCTTTGAAAAGTTACACTTGATAATGACATCTGCATGACTTTCTCTGCCATGAATTGGATTTCAACTTTAGGTTAAATATCTGAAGAATGAAACATAAGGTTCAGTTCCCAAATAAAGATTTTTTTTTAATGAGAGAGAGAGAGAGAGAGAGAGAGAGAGAGAGAGAGAGAAATTTTTTAATATTTATTTTTTAGTTTTCGGTGGACACAACATCTTTATTTTATTTGTATGTGGTGCTGAGGATCAAACCCAGTACCCAGCTCATGACACCCAGAATGCTACATCCCCAGCCCATAAAGAATTTTTTTAAATATTGACCATAAATGAATTCTTACCAATTATGCAGATTCATTAGCATGGCTTTCAGAACAACTTCTAGAAATTGTCAAGACTGATAAAGGAACACAGTTTATAATAGAGCAGCTGACCTTTATTGTGAAAAAAAAAAAAGAAACAGGGTAGATCACATAGACTTTGGAGTGGTAGTTACTTGATATTATGATATTGGTAATATATTCTTTATAGGTTAGTGGGAGGAGTGCTTGGTTTGTACCTGAATAATACTCTAATGGGATGTCTCACCAATGGTTCTGAAATATGAGCAGGAGGATGGGCTGTGGAGGGAACCCACACCCAGCAGCCAGAATATATAAAGAGTAAGTGCAGCAGGGAGCAACCATACTTCAGCAATTTGCTCCCTGAAATTTAATCAAGGCCTGACATCTATCTCCACCATGTCCAACAACAATTGCAGCTCTGAAAACTACAGCTCTCCCTCCCTTGAGAATTCAGATTGTGCTCCTGTCACCTCAGCCAGTGCTCTCTGCTCCACTGACGTGAGCTGTGGAGAAGCCCTCTGCTCTCCTGGTGGCAACCTGGGCAGCAACGCGCTCCAGGACAAATGCCACGATCCCTGCAGTGAACACACAAGCTGCCAATCAACCAGCTGTGAAAGGGTTACCTGTAGCCCTTCTGGCTCTTCTCCAGTTGTTTCTAATGTGTCTGCATCTCAGCAAGGAACTAGCTGTCTTCCTATCACATCTTGTGGTTCCAGTCTCTGTCTTCCAGCATCCAGTGGACAACTTTCGAACTGCCATCTTTCAAGTTACCAGTCCTATCGCTACCAACCCCTGCACTACCCGACCTTCAGCCGACCACTAGGTTACCTTGGCTATGATCGTCAGGCATTGAGATATCTGACCTGTGGATGCCAACCTCTCAGCTGCATGTCTGACTGTTACAGACCTATCAACTACACATACAGCAAATTTCAACCATACTCCTCTTCCTTGAGTGGCTGGAGGTACTCTTATTAAAAAGAAAATCATCCCAAGTAGCTGGAAACAACCTCTTGCTTAGTGGCTTTGAGAAATCACTCAACTTCATATCAATCAATCTTTTATTCTACAGGCTTATGTTACATCTCCTAATTTTATGCTAAATCTCCTTAATGTGACTTTCTTTTGATTTAGGAGTTGTACCACTTTTACATGACAAAAAAAAATCTTAATGATTTTCAACCTGGATAGGCTTAATTTTCTTTAGTTTCTTTCTAATTAAATCACAGCTTGGCATAAACATCATGAGTATCATGTGTTATCATTTATGTGTACCTCATTTTATTGCTAGTTGTTTCCTTAGAATACGTTAACCACTTTGTGCAACTTTGATGATTTGGGGGGAGTTACCTATGAAGAATATTGAAAGTTTCTAAAAGTTAAAAAAAATGATTAATTGCAAGGAACCTATAAAAATAATAAATTACAATGACTAATATGAGATTGTCAGGGTTCATGCACTACATGGCATTAAAATCCTTCAGGTAATAGTAAATTTACCCTCAGCTGGATGCTTCTAATTATAGTACATTATGTTGTAACAAGTAAGCCCACACATATAATAACGGTTAAAATTCCTTGTTCTTTTAATGTTGGGCAAAGAAAAGAAAAGTAGGGAAGCCCTCAATGAGGTCATTTAGAAATAGTTGAGCAAGATTTGACTAAGATGTGACCACCAAGATGGACCTCGAGGTTTCATTCCATTGCAGCTGAGCATGGTAGGTAGCCCAATAGCCTAACCCAGCCACCAACGAGGCTGTTGTATATAACACAAGTTATATCCAGGAAGAAGAGACAAATAGAGAATTGGTAGAACCAGCAGTCACCCAAGTAGCAACTTATCTGAGATACTTATCTGAGATAAAATTGATTAAAAAGAAGAAAATTCCCACCTATTGCTACATTGTAGCTAAGGTTCTGATTTGCAGCTGTACTTCAGAGCTGTATGACAGAGCTGACATTTAATGCTCTTGCTTTGGATGACCAACACCACAGATTTGTTCACTTGAGGTATTTTTTATTTTAACACTTTTTAAAAATTTTTGGTACCAGGGATTGAATCCAGGGGATCCTGACCACTGAACCACATCCCCAGCCCTTTTTATTATTATTATTATTTTTTATTTTGAGACAGGGTTTCATTAAGATGCTTAGAGCCTCCCTAAATTGCTGAAGCTGGCCTTGAACTTGAAGTCCTCCTGCCTCAACCTTGGGAGACACTGGAATTACACGTGTGAGCCACCACATCTGACTTCAGTTGAGTTTTAAACTTCTGTAATAACTACAGGACTTCAGTCCTCTTTCCTAAAATTAGTAATATTAGGAAATTTACAAATTCCTGTTTTTCAGTTGCTCATTTCAACTTAAAACTGCGCTATTTCATTAATATGACCATTTGCCAAATGAACATGATGTCCATTACCAGGCACTGTGGCTTGGTTTTGACCAAATTTGAAATAGATATTCAGTGTGGTAATGAGAGTATGCAGAACAGCTAGTATATGGCAAACATTTCTCTTTCAGGAACACATTAACCCTAATTCCCACCCTCTTCTATGAGCATTTTCATTACATTTTGTAAAAAGGAAAGCTCAGTTCAGAAAAATGAAACAATTTACCCAAGAAAACATATATATACATCTCCATAGCTCCATAACCCCTTCTCTCAACCTCTCTCTCTCTATCCCTCTGTGCATGTGTGTGTCTGTATGCATAGTTTCAGAGCATAGATGAAATTCAAATTCACCTCTGTTCTAGAAACCACATCTTGTTTTATGATCATTTTTTTGATTTTAAAATACTTCAGATTGCCTGTATGCCAGTCTTTCAAGGAAAATTATAGGTGAAAACCATCTGCCATTTATTTAACATTTATGGGGCCTGGCATTTACTAAATAGTAGCCCTCATCTTTCTCATTAATCAAAAGCTTGTTACCATTACTCTGTCTTACAGATGAAGAAACAGGATCAGTGAAATAAATCCTCTTGCTCAAGATCTCATTGCTAGTAATTGAGTTTAAAATTTTTATTCAAAGCAGTATTATTTATCTTACAATATGTACCTGAATGCTAAAATCACTCCATAGACAATGTTGGATATACCAGTGAATTTTGATTGTGTTGTTAGTCCTCAGAGATAAAAGAAAGGGAAAAAAGGCAAAATAGTAACAATATTGAGGTTGAAATTCAACATAATTGGACAGCTTGCTGAGTAAAGGAACAGTAAACATGCTTTAGTGGAGGAAATATGCCACAAACTGTGTCACCCACTCATTTTGACATGATTTCTTTCATTTATGAGCATCAAATATACTTATAGAAAATAAGTAGAGAAGGCATATTTTTATTGTGAAATACTTTTCAGTTTTTTGGACTGTCTATGTTGAAAATCTACAGTCATTATCTGGAACATTCAAACTGTTTTGCTCTGTCTATACATATGGTATCCAAAGCAACTATGTATGTCAAGTAGTTTTTCAGTTTAATGGATACATAAAGTGAGTTAAAGAGATGTTCAAAAAGATGACTCTGTCCTATCATTGCAACATTTAAAAATATTTGTTGGATAACTACCATGTGACCCATAATGGGTTATGTAGTGTGATAGAATCTTGAGCAGCAGAACTGAATCTTGCTCCCATGAACTTGATAGCTCGTAACAATCATTAATCATTAAAGTAAATAACTTAGTATATTTAGTTTATTCAGATAATGAAATATATGAAAACTATTTTGAAGAATGAATTTAAGAATTCCATTTTAGATATCAAATTTGAGTGGCTAATAAAGAAAGAAAATGTTGATGGAGAGATATCAAATAAGTAATTTGGAATAAAAAGTTCTTATCCCAGTATTTTTTAAAAGCTAATTTTATTCATCCATTATTCAAAAATCTCTTATTGATGTCTTACTTTGTTCCAGGAATTGGCAATGAATGACATTGACATCCCCAATAATAAGTAGTTTCTGGTCTCAGTGAGGTAAAATCTTATATGATCAAGTTGCTTTAAGAAAAGAGGTTTGATATCATGTGTGAATGCATTAATTAGTTTGTGAATAAATTTCTACAGAGGAAAGAAAAAAGGAAAGAGCAATGTAGGAAGTAGAGCACTTGTCTTCCTGGTCGGCTCTGGTTGGTGCTATTTGCCTGCTATATGTCTTAGTTGTTTTAAATGTGATGATATACTGCATATTGCTATCAAATTATTGAGTGAGCAAATGAACATTGGTTGCTATGGGTCAGGTTAATTGATGTCTATGTGAAAGAAAAAGAAGTTCCAAATAACAATTTTGGGACATATATGTATATCCACAACAGAGTATATCTAAGATGAGTGAGGAATTGACAGTCGACAAATATCTCCTTCTCTTTTCTGTACAGATCCAAGACAAATAAAGGCTATGAAATTGACTTCCATCTCTTAGATTAACATGGAGAAAATCAAATGGGATGATTAAGATATTATTTATGGATATCAGTAAAGAGATGCACAGGGCATCTCTGAGATAGTATTCTATGACCTGATATAAAAAAAGCAGAGTAATTTGCAGGAAGCACAATAAAGAAGGTTCTCTCATTTGGATCTTAAGTGTCTCTCAAAAGCAGTGATAAAAATTTGATCCTCAACTTGGTGTAATTTAAAGGTAGTGGATTCCTTGAGAGGTGGGTCCTCATGAAAGGTCTTTAGACCATGGGTGGTGTCCCCTTGAAGGAGTTTGTAATAATCTGTCTCCTTCCTCTACCCCTCTCATCACTTGCTGTCCACAAAGTGAGTGGTTTTGCTCTGCCATGTGTTTCCTGCAATGACCATGATATTATGCCTTACCGCATACCCAAAAGCAGTGGGATGAACTTACCAGGAACCAAAGCCTCCAAAACTGTGAGCCAAAATAAATCTTTCCTCTTTATAATTTGATTAGCTCTGGTATGTGTTAACATGTTGGAAAATTAGTGGCCTAGCAAGAGTAGCTTGCAGAAAGTCTTTGAGCTCAGAAAAGCAGGGATTTAAGAAATTCTTAACATTTAAATAAAACTGAACTGTGGGATTTCTGGAAGAGGATAGAAAAGCTTGTTGTTGCCAGATCCTGGAGATCTTATGAAGCATATTCAAGAGTTTGGCCTTTATCATTCAGACTGCAGGAGTCATAGAAATCTGTGTTTGCAAAAAAAGCTGAATAAAAATATGGAAATATTACAAAAAATTCTAAATAAGATTTAGCATGTGAACCAACTACTATGTGAGAATGAAAACATCATGAACTCTCAGATGTGATTTTCACTATTTTATATTAATTTCATTGTTCCTGGCACCAATTATCTCTACCAAAGAATATAATTTCTTGGTAGTTTCTTGATCTCTGATAAGTGAACCAGGCAACTAAAGAAATATATATTAGTAGTAGAGAATTGATGGCCTACTGAGAGGGAAAGACATCATAATTGGAATTTTTAAAATTATAAATTGGAACACACATCAGATAGGTGTGTGTCTTGAGCATCCCCTGAATTTTCATCAATATGTGATACATTGATTGATGATACCAGGCTTCTGAAGTTATGTGTCCTGTATGTAACTTGCCTGTTCATTAGTTATGATTAATGATGGGACCATGTTTAATTTGATAACTTTATTACCTATGGTATCCTACAAGATGCATTCCTTTAACAGTTAGAGAAACCAAATCTATTTTCACTAAGGTCTGAAAAGAAATATTTTAGTTTTCTTTTTGAAACCCATGTGCAGCAAGCCTGCATGCTGAGGAAGAGATTTTATATACCAGTTGGTTATCACTTGTTTTCAAATTTTACAAAGAACCAAGAAATGAAAAGGAACTTAAGCTAAAACATGAGGAATTCAAGTGAGGCACACACACACAACCTCCTCTAGTTGGGAGTTATCAAGCTGAGAAAAGGAATCTCCTTTGGAAGCACATAAGAGTTTGAAAGATTCTATTTATCTAGAGTACTTAAAGTTCTTAGAAAAGATGGGAAAATGTCAGATAGACTTTGCAAACTTATCTCAACCCTCAATGACTCCAATCTCTTCAGTTATTTTCTACTGGTAACAGGATGCACACTGATGTGAAGCGATCTGAAGTCTTGAGAAGAAATTGAAACAGACTTTCAAAATTCCCAATGTGAAATGTCAAACATCCCTTTTACAACAGTTTGAAACCAAAAAGTTGAAATTCACAGGGGGGAACCTTACATCATATTTGCACCATATGTCATTTTTTGGTGA